TGTGGGGAGGGAGGAATCCTATTTTGAGAAGGAGACCTCTCAGGAAGGAGTACCCATGCAGGTGAGGAAGTTGGTAGACTGTGTGTGGATGGCTCTCCTTCTACTCTTGTATTTTGTGGATGTGAGCTTCAGGAGGAAGATGGCTGTTTGTCAATTTTCTCCTGAAATCTCTTTAAGAGAGGAGATAGCTGTGGACTACGCCACAGTGGTGACCTCACAACCCACACATCCTCTTGACTGCCCTCACCATTCTCCTTGCCACTCATGAAATTTGCATCAATTTATTGCAGAGCAGTCTTCTCTGCTTTATTTCTTCTGTCAGGTGGATTGTCGAGGTATTGTTGTCTTTTCGTTTCATAATATCTTGACACAGCACCTGGTACATAAAAATAGTATTAGGTTAATTGCTTATTATTTATTTATTGCCCAAATTCATGAAAAAGTCTTTGATGAGAATCTTGTCCTAACATAGAAAGCTACTTTTCTCAAATTTATCCATTCGTTCTCTCAAGTAAATGGCAACCTTACATCAACATTCGATGAGAAAGTCACTGAGTCAGGTTAGGTCATTTTCAAATTCAACCTATTAAATTGTTTGATATGCATCAAATGTGTCTCTTCGAAGTTAAGTTTCATTCAACAGGAACAATAGGGGTCTTCTACTAAAGGCAGGCACAAGACGGGTTACGCACCTCGAAAGCTCTGTTTTAGGGTACTCTAGACAACAAACTTTCAGATGAATTAAACAAAAGTTTAAAAAATTTTTTACAAGGTGACCACATTTTGTTGGACCAGAAAAGTAAATTGCATGCACACTCTAGTAGCACATTTATGTATGTACTTTAAAGACAAAATCATATGAACACATCACTTACACTTGATAGTTGACTTTTCATAGTCATTGTTTTCCTTTTCCAGTTCCTTACAAAGAAATCCTCGAACAGCACTGTTGTGGGCACTATCAATGCTACAAAGGAATGTTATAGTAGTAATGCTTTGTTAGAAAGGTGCATAGAGATGAACAAATTTAAATACAGGTTTAAGTTAGTGACCAAGTTTGTTTGGAAGGTGAGAAAATTTTTGTGTGTTTATGAATTGAGACTTTGTCAAGATCTGTGAAGATGTAAAAAGTAAACAAGGCCAATTGCTCAGCATCTTGACTAAAATAAGATATTCACATGGCCAACAAAGTTTGCTTGTAGGAAAATGCTCAAGGGAAAATCACAGACAAATAAAATCCTGTCTTCCCCATTTGCCAGCCAATCACAAAAAATCAGGGGACTTTGCAGAGAGCTGGAAACAAGTCACTTCAAATTGTTTTAAATGACAGAAAAGACCACAATACACAAGAACACAGGCTTCTCCATCTCCTCACGGTTTGCTTGGATCAAAGTGGTGGACTATTAAGCATTGTGTAAAATCTTTTTTTGTCTTGTGAAAGTATTGCTTTTCAGTCACAAGTAAGCAAAGCTTTAATTTGTCCTGCAAATTTTAATGTGGCTTCTTGTTTTGAAATGTGCCACCCTCTAGGAGGGACAATCTCTTAACTTTGGTTGTCCTTTGTCCCCACCTAGAAAGGGAAATTAAGTTCTTTGACTACACCCTTTGCAAAGTCCCTCCCTTAACCAAGGTTCCCCCCAGGAGATGGCTGATGATAGGTGCATTTCCAAAACATTCCACAGACGAACTCTTAATATCCTGAATAGATATCTTTTACTCACCCTTCACTTCCACAAAACTAAAGTTCAACTTCTTGTTTGTTGTGCAACAAGTGCACATCACCCTTAAATTCAAACAAAATTAATTATAAGAACATTAACGCTTCTTATAAGAACAGTGTATGTGGAATCAAAGGTGAAAAGTTTTAAGTTCAAATTCTAATAATATCATGGGTAACAAATTATGCTTACAATTGTGTGGTTTTCTAAAATTTCTAGCCAGAATACAGGATGTTTTGTTTACAAAAACAAACAACTTAGGGACAAATTAAGAAATAAATATTTAATCATTTGTCTCATGACATAGAGTCAGGCTATCAAAATTTTGACAGCAATGTTTCCTACTGCTACACTGCTAGTCTTTGTCAGGCAGCATGTTTGAATGTTTACATGTCGCTATATGTAGTACTTTGGTGTTTTGTCATTGGTACGTTCTTGTACTCTGTCCTTGGTGAATTTCAATCCTCATTATTATTCCTACTAGCAGATGTTATTCCCTCATAGGTCTGCTTTGTTACTGACTGGCTGTGATGCTTTTTAACTGTAGCCATCCACACTTCAGAAATTTTGATCCCACTCTCTCTATTGATGTTATTAGGGTAAAGTTCTGTGTGGATGGCTTCTTCATCAATAATGAGAGCAGAATTTAAATTCCTTAAGCATGGATGCCCACAATCAAAAAGCATAACAGCTAGTCAGTAAAAAAGCTGACCTATGGGAGAACAACATCTGCTGGTTGGAATAATAATGAGGATCAAAATATCCCAATGATGGAGGGCCAAAATGTACCAATGACAAAACACCAAGGTGCTACATATAGCAACACATAAACATTTGACTTCATCACATGATGAAGAAGACTAGCAGTGTAGCTGTTGAAACACCCAATCAAACTTTTGATAGCCTGACTCTAAATCACGAGAAAAATGATTACATGCTCATTTATCTATTTAACCTCAATGAACAATAACATCTTCTTTAACTTAAGGACATTTTTGTAAATTATTACAGAAAAAAACAATCTATACTGAACTACATGTATGTGGAGTAACCTTTTTCAGTAGCTTTAAAACTAAATTGCAGAAGTTGATTTTCAGGCACTATTGGCAAATGATGTCTGACATTCTCAAAACTTCATACCCTGGAGCAATCTTTGAGGCCGCCCCCCGAGTATTTATTACTCTCGGCTTAGTTTCAAACAAGCCATATGGCATGCGGTATTAACATCACAAAGAAGGGAATACTGTCCCACAAGCTTAAAATACTTCTCATACCAGAATCGAAGCTTAAAAGGAAACGCCCATTGCTACAGTGCTGGAACAAAAATTTGCACAAACCTTTAGTTGCTTTGGAACAGGCCCACGGTGGATATTCTCCTTCTCGGTCGACTGAGGTTGGCGATCGAGCTTGTGTCGTACAGTCTGTAGTTCGGTCTTCACCTCAGCCACTTCTTTACAAGCATTTTCCAGTTCCACGCTCAAACTGTCTAGTTTGGCATTTTGCCGCTTTACTATATCCCCCAGTTCTTTGATTGTGTCGAACAACTATCGAATTTCTCGGTTTGAGACCAGCAGGTTCTCCCGATTTCTAATAGAATCGTCTCGTAAAGGCTCTGGATGGGATGGAACTGCGCTTGATCGGGCGCCGGTTGATGAGCTTGAGCCGAATGGTCGTCGACTCAAAGTGGTACTGGTATTACCACTCCGGAAGAAAGATGCAGCCACATCGATGTCAAACCTAACACCGTCCAGCGAAGATTATGTGACGCGTCCACTGGTCGAGCGCGAGCGACGCTTCTCTTTCCTTTCTATTTCGTCTGAGCAAGCCAATAATCTGCTTCTAGAGCAACCACGTGAGTAAGACTAACCAATAAGCGCTTTCTCATTGAATGTCACGCATTTTGTCGGCACGACTGTCGGCACTTAACTCAGCAGCATATTAATCGATTACTCAGAGTTCTTCACCAAGGCAGCATAATAGGTGAAAGTACGGATCAATTGAGAAGGAAATTTTGTGAAAGCTACGCTTCTTGGTTTGAGGAAAGCTTCTATTATGATCACATATGTGAAAAGTCCAGTTTGCAGAGATTAAACGTGAAAGGTGAGTTGAGTTAATAATGAGGTTGATCTTTCTCAACATAGGTCGACGATAGTTGAAATTCCTGAAAAGTTTTCTTCAGTCCTCATAGTGTTTTAAGCCCGGGTCGCACAAGATATAATACTCTTGATTATTTGCGATGGTTCAAAGTTAAGCCGTTTTGAGAGAAGGAAGAATCTTGTTCTGCGCGGGCTGGGCAGAACTGAAAAACCCCTGCGCATGGTAGAGACTCGCGTGGGGAAACTGGGGACGACAACGTTAAACCATAGCAACACGTACGTGAAATGGCGGAATTTTCGAAAAAAAAAAAAATGAACAGCGCCATTTTTTACTCCAGTTAAGACTTAGGTAGAACTTGCGCGCTTTAAACCTTCGCCAAAGACCGACTGGTAAGAGTGCTAAGACATATCTCCTGAACACAAACCAAAATTTTACAGCAAAAACAAGAGTCAAAGATCTCTGCAGGAACATCTGAAAGCATTAACAACAGTTTTTTAAATAGTAACTATCACCTGTAATATCAGTTAAGCTCGGCTGTAACAGGTATTACAGGTTACAGGTTACAGCCCCTAACAACAATGCCACATGCACAGTACTTTTACAGCTCTGTCCAGGCTGTCTGTTATGGGCTGTGTTTATGTAATTACATTCAAAACTTTGTTGGGGCATGACCAGGATTTTTCTGACTTTTTCCTATGGATCAACATAAGGTCCACCAATCAATTAAATGTACAGTACTTCAGTTCTCTGCGGAAAATGACATTCAGATGTGGAAAAACACAGTCTGTTGTTTTACAATGTTATATGTAAGCAGCTTGATGCAAATTGACCTTTTTAATAATAATAATTTTTCTTTATTTGCTTTTGTTTTACTTTTGACTCTTGGGTACACACATCCGTTTGTGTGTAAGGGTTGTTATTTTATACCCCAGGAAATACACCTGTAGCAATGCTATTGCCTGTTGCTCTGTAAAAGGAGCCTCACTGTATATCAGTTCATTGATGCTGATGGATCTAACATTCATCTTGTGTTGTTTAGTCACTCCTAGAATTGGTGACAAGTTCTACTGTAACCACTGCAAGAAAACTGTGAGCAAAAGTACCTTCTACGAGAATCAGACTACATTCACATGTATATGGTGATATTGCATGTGGATTCTCTAGTCAAAATGTGGAGCTTGAGTCATGGACTCTGATTCAGAAAATGAGGGTGCTCTTCCTTGTTGGGATGATGAAGACAGGCAGTTCTTTTCAGAAGGATATTCTAGTGGTGGTGAAAATGATGTAGATGATGAAATGTTACCAGAGGAGTCCTCAGTGGAAAAACATGAAAGCTCCATGCAATCAGAACAGCAACTCTCGGTTAGTTTATAGAATATTATTGGTTCATACGGCAAACTAATACAAAAAGAGCAGATCATAACATTGCCATCTCTCTTAATGACCCTCATAACATGGCTTTTGCTCTTAAATCACTCTTCTTAGCTTAGGTAGCTTAATCTCTCATAAACCAATAGAAAAATGTTTTCTGGGGATTACTTTTCCAACTTAAGCTAGGTTTTACTGTTTTATCTAAGGTAAAAATTTAGATGAGGAAAGTGCCTCGTCTTGCCTCAGGCTACAGTGTGGCTACTGCCCTGCTTTTATGTGTAAAATTTCTTTTAGTGAAATATTTTGATATTCATTTTATTCACAAGTGATGTAAATACATGCAGAATGATGTACATGTATACTGAACCTTAAGTACTATTTATTGCTATTGTTTCTGATGTACTGTTATTTCATTTCAGGAGGATAATCTAGAACAGTATTCTCATGAATGGAAAACAGTGCAAAAAAAATGTGGTAAACAGAAGGAACCAGGAAGTGATTGCAAAGAACTGAGGGCTTTGCTTTTATTCTTACCTCTGTGGCAGGCAATGTTCAAAGTTGCAGACAGGGCTATTGTTCTATTCTTAAAGCTATTCTTATCTGGTATTGGTAAGATGATGCAAGCAGAAGTTCTTATTAACTTTGCTAAGATCATTCCAGAAACATTGTACATGATTCGAAAAAATCTTGGCCTTCAGAAGGACAGTTTTATTAAAAATGCAGTTTGCCTCAAGTGTTAAACTCTCTAAAATTTTGATGAATGTGTTTGCCAAAGGCCAAATGGTGAGGTTGTATCAGCAAAATGCAGTCATGTGAGTTATCCATGCCACCCACACCAAGCCAGAAGGAGGCCATGTGGTTCCGTTCTGATGAAAGTTATGAGGTCAAGAGCAGGAAAGACATTCTTGTATCCTAGGCAGGTTTACTGCTTTAAAAAGGTTACTGATTCATTACAAGACCTTATTAACAAGCCAAACTTCATGGAAAACTGTGAAAAGTGGAGGAATTGTTCCACTCAGCTGTCAGACAATGTTCTTGGAGACTGTTTTGAGGGAAGAGTTTCAGTATGTGGATGGAGAGCCCTTTCTTGCTATACCAAATAACTTTGCTCTCATGTTGAACATTGACTGGCTTCAACCCACTCTTCATGGTTCAAAATCCATTTGTGTCATTTACATGGTTGTAATGAACCTTCCAAAAAAGGAACGCTTCAAACCTGAAAATCTTATTGTTGTTGGAATAATTCCTGGGCCAAAGGATCCTAAGCATTATATCAATTCCTTCCTGCAGCCATTACTAGATGACCTTATTGACTTGTGGGATGGAGTTATCTTAGACACAAACATTTCTGGAACTGGGGAGATGTTCTGAGCTGCTATCTTAGCTTTGTCAAGTGATATACGAGAAACTTCGAAATGTGGAGGTTTTATTGGCCATACTGCAAAGAAAGGTGAGTGCTCAAAGATGCACTATAACTAGAGTGTTTTATACAATTTTAATAATAACTCCTTGGTTATTTATTTATTTTTTTTGTATTTGTGTATGTATACCTACAAACTCACATGTCTTGGGAATCAAAAAACTTCGATCTCAAGTCAGCCCTCACCAGCTGACCAATTCCTCACACCTAGCACAAAGGTTTGAGCTAATACATCCTCTGACTTTTAGAAGGGAAGTGCTAGAGACGAGGTTGTGTTTTCATGTGTTAGGAAGTTTGGAATTGTTTGGGACTGCATTCGAAGTCTTTGGATTATCTCCAGATATGATCAGGTTCTCTATCAAAAATCCTGGCACTTGTAGGATAAAAATCTCGCACCCTTGGCTAAAAAAAGGGTTGGCAGGTATATATTTGTTGAGTGTGTAAATACATGCTTGTTGCACTGGCATCATTGTTTATATGGTTTTTTACTATATTTTCAGGATGCAGCAAATGCTTTAAAAAATTTCCAAGAGCATCATTTGGTGATAAACCTGATTTCTCAGGATTTGATAGAGAAAGCTGGGAACAGCAATCTAATGAAGACCATCGAGCATCTGCAGAGAAAGTTTGCCAAGCTAAAACACCAAGTGATGCCCAGAAATTTGCCTCTTCAAGTGGAGCACATTACTCTGTCCTGTTCCAGCTTCCATACTATGATGCTATGAGATTCGCACTGATTGATCCCACGCATAACTTGCCTCTTGGGAGTGCCAAACATGTTCTTAAGACTTGGACTGAAATGGGAATTTTGAGTGAATCTGACTTGGAGAGAGAACAGAAATGTGTCAGTCTTGTTAAGCCACCATCTGAAATTGTGTGCATCCAAAGCAAAATTTCTGAAGGATTTAAGGGATTCACTGGTGACCAGTGGTAGAACTGGGTATGTTTTTACTCCTTTTTTGCTTTAAAGGGAGTAATACCCAGTGGACATAATGGAATGTGGACAGCATTTGTACATGCCTGTCAACTGCTTTGCAGAAAAGTTATCACCAAGGAGGAGTGTATGGAAGCTGACCACAAGCTGATGCGATTTTGTGTAATGTTTAGAAGCCCTCTGCGGGAAGGAGAAGTGCACACCAAACATGCATCTTCATGGCCATTTGAAGGATTGCATACTTGATTATGGACCTGTTTTCTCTTTTTGGAGCTTCTCATTTGAGAGGTACAATGGAATTATGGGAGATTACCATACAAACAATGTTAATATTGGTAGGTATTAAACTCTTCTCTAATAAATTTTAAAAAATGAAAATTAATTCTTTCAAACTGGTCTTTCCTTTCTTGACATTTTGATAGAATGCAGTCACGCCATATTCTTGGAAAAAAAAATTATGTGAACACTCAAACCTCCATATTCAAACATATATGTACATGTATACATGTTACATAAATATAAAAGTTTAAAGCAGACAGGCCATTAGGTCTGTGGCAACAAGGCACTTATACAGTGTAGTAGCAAAACTCATTAGCTTTTGACCAGACCTGAATGACCGACTGACCAAACAACTGACTGTCAAACTAAAAACAAATAATAATAAGTCCACAAAAGTATCACATAACTTTTTATTATTATCAAAATTTTATGGTGGACTTAAATTTTAACCTTGCACCTGCCAGAGGCCTGATACCCTGTTTGTGGCATGTTGCTTTGTGTAAGCCTTTGCATAATGCCTAGATGTATCAGAATACATTATGAACCATATGTTAACTGGTTTTAATTTTATTATCCCCAGGAGTTCAAATTATATTTCCAGGAGGCATGGAAGAGTTCCAGCAACTTATGGATTGTGAAGGCAAGCAAAAGGGAACTTTATTAGAAGCAAGTGTCCGTGTCCAGCAGTTCTGCAACATGGTTGAATCTGAAACTGTCAGTCCAGTGAATGTTAACCTTAGTAAAACTGAGACTCAAGTACCACTACCACCAATCAAAAGGGAATGCAATTGAAAGTGATGATGTGAGGAGACTACAGAAGACTTACGAGGCCATGTATGCTGGTGGTAGAATCATCCATGTTTCCAGCTTCTGTGATAAGTTCAAGCACCTTTTATACAAAGGATACCGTTGTGCAGCAGACTCAGCTTGTAACTAACAGCCTTTGATGACTCCAGTAGATCTGCTATCATTAGGGATTTTCTGCAACATGATGTGGTTATCAAAATGGAGAATGGAAAATCTCAAAAGATCACCCACCTTCTAGCATTAGTTGAATGGTATGCTAGGCATCCTCAGTGTAACAGGTGTTTAAAACCTGTAGAGATTTGGGCGAATCATTTCGAGTCAGTTATTCCAGAACATGCCTTTTATGTGCCAGTGGGAAGATTCCAGTCTAGCTGTGTCTGTTAAATATCAAGTTCCACTTCTGCACCATCAGCAAGAAAAAGTTCATGAAATTATTTACCATTACCAAACTCAGCTAAAGTCTAGCATTATGGAGCATTAATTTATGGAAAGGAAAACAGATTGCAGAAAGTGGATTTGGTGTCGGTACTTTCTCATTGAACATCTGCACATGATTGAATCCAAAACTGAGTCTCAAGATACATTTTCATTTCTAGATATTTACATTCTGAAACATCCTAAGTTGGATCATGATAAGCTGAATTAGTTGACAACAGCAATTATTTTGGTTAGAGACTGAAATAAATCAGTGATCACATAATATGACATGTTAGATTAATAAGAATATTGTATCTAGATTTTTATGTTCTGTCACAATTCAGTCAATTTGCAATTAATTTCATTTGATTATGCTATTGCCAAAAGTGGTTTGCACAAGTAGTTCTTTTATATAGCAATAGGTACCAAATGTATCGTGTGATCCTGTACAACAGTTAGTGTTTAAGAAGTTATAGTATGACCTCTCATGAAATAGCTGTAGTTATTTATTTTTGCGCAATAAAATATTGAACCTTTAGTACGGTTCTTTAAGAGAAACCCAAAATATTGCTGTCAGTGTTTCATCTCATTATTTATCAGTTTTTAAATGTTACATGTATTACAATCCAGTGGCTGACTGTTGGCCAAATTGCAATTTTATGCAACTACAATAACAACAACAACAAATTTATCGAAGTATTCCTAACAATACATGGCATTACCTATTAGTTGAGCTAAAGAAACTACAATAATGCTCGAATCATTTTACAAAAGAAGTTCCCAGACATTGATATGCCGTGAAGGATAAGATTGCCATCAGCAAAGCAACTGTTGCAAATTATTTCCAACTTTAATGTTCAAAACGTTAAAAAATGGAAAGACTGAAAAAAAACCTTATAAGATTAGAATTATCAAATCGGATCGACTGGCACAAAGTTTCCCTTTACATGAAATTACCGTCTTTTTAAAAACAAGCTATACTTAACTTTAGTTCTAACATCGAATGCGAACGCGCAACAGTATAGGCACGTAAAGGTACCCCGCCCTAAGCGATAGGTAAAGGTGCGAGAACACACTGAAAAAAATACATTCACGCGAACGCCATAAGCCAGGATAAGCAAAGGAAGGTGAGGATGCATGTGCGTAAATTGATGATCTCCATAATGTAAACTTTTTAAAAAACCTTGGTACTTGAGAATGGAAAAGAGCTTCGAGACCCACGACTGACGACACGAATTACCGAAGGATTATGAACTCCACGCCTTTTTAACTATAAAACTCTGAAGGGACAAAAGAGCACAAGCGTTTGTGGTTTCCAAGTAACGTGCTAAGACAAAGGTACACAAAATATATTCATTCTACGACAAAATATATCCGTGCCGCTAAGTATCAGACCCTTGAAATTCTTTGACACGCCGCGATTAACTTACCCAGGGCATGACTTGTCATGACACGCCGTGTCACGGGTGTCAGGAACATGACACTCTCCGACAAGCCACGTTTCCCGACACGTCGCGTTCCGATCTGCGAGTCGTCGGGTATCGTGAAATATCACGGCTCCAAAAATTCCACAAAATTACTCATTTCACGCAGTGCAAGGGAAAAAACATATTCTAGCTTCGCAAATCATTGAAGGTTGGGTAAACCACGACATTTTGTCACACTCAAGACTGTATAGTATTTATTATCAGACAAGTTTTGTGCCTCTTCGGTCCTGGATTTGCTTTTGTTTCCTGTTTTCAAGTTTTATGTTTAAGCTTGTTTAAGTTATAAACATAAGTTTGTGGAAATAAACACCAAATTAAATTAGTACACAACGGGATTAGGGAAAGTTTTTGTTAAAAAAGTTTTTGTTTGAGGTCACTTTCATATTCTGTTTTATA